ATTTTTAACTTTTACTACAAGACAATGATTTGATAAAAAGCTGCATGGTCCACTAGTAAGGCATGGTGTGGACTGGTGATGATAAGCTCAKCCCTATTGTTGTACTGCAGCATTAACACACTTACAGGATAAATGTTGCCTTTAACCAAGTCACATTTTTCTGGCTTGAGTACAAGATAGTCTCCTCTAAATGGAACAATTCTTGGCACTTTACTACAACCAGACTTCTCTGCCAGACGATCAGAGTACAAACCACCACAAGTTATGACATATTTACAATTGATTAATGGCTGCAAAAGAAATAATAGTTTCAGTGTGTATGCATCATCATCATTATCATCYTTGTCATCACTGTCAYGTAGTATCACATACTAGGATATTCACTTACCACCCCTTTACCATGTACAGTGACAACACCATTACCAACACTATTACATTAACAACACCATCAACATCATTATCATCTCTGTCATGATTGTCATGTAGTATCACATAGGATATTCACTTACCACCCCTTTACCATGTATGGTAACAGGATAAGCCAGTCCTGCAACAAGCAAACGAATGGCTCAATCAATAAATGATCAAATTAGAATTTACAAGTTGATTTTTGCAGATGGAGAGCAACTGGAAAACCCAGAGAAAACCCCCCAAATACAGGAGAACTAGCTAGAAAATGTACTCACATACACTATACCACCCATGCTTCACAATGAATGGGTGGGAGGGTAGGTAGGTTGGTGGATGGATGGAGGGAAGGAGGGAGGTATGGAGGGAGGGAGGGAGGGAGGGAGAAGATGGATTGATGGATGGGTGGATAGATGAATGGATGGATAATGTATGGTGTTTTAATGGATTCTAACCTTCTTCTTTTTCTTGTTGTTTGTCACTTTCAGTTGTGCAAGTAAAATCAGTGACCTACAAGGCAAGCTAATTAACATTAATATCATACTACATTTCTCACTGTCTCCTACAAAACAGTCTAATTTTCATAAGGTTTTGATTACATTATAATTTGTGTAGATGTCTCCTCCAGCATTTTTAAAATTCTCCCCAAAGGAATTGCTGACTTGTGCCCAGTCTAAGATACCAGTGTTAGGAGATACTATTGCAAACAAACCCTATTAAATCATCAAAAAAAACAATGATAGTTTCAGCACAACATGATTTTTAAAGTTAAGATATTATATATAAAGTAGTCAATTTTTTTCTAGACATGCAGCTGAATTACAAACCTCACAATTTGGTTCAATTTCTTTGATGCCCTTTCTATCAACCATGGTCAAATCTCTCACTCCATTCATTTTTCCTCTATCAAATAGATTATTCAACAATGGGATCTCCTTGTTCTCTACAGCAACTATCAACTGAAAAGCACAGAAAAAAGTTTTTCAAATTATTCTAGGCTACCAGCTGAAAAGATCACACAAGCCTTGTTCCCCAGTTAGAGCCAATCCACAGCATACTTGGGTATAATATCTCCTTATTTCATACCACAAAATAAATAAAACAATCATTTTATTTAATAGTGGCAGCTCTATAGAGTAGCTCTTTCTCTACTTGAGTCCTGTGCAGCATGGCAACTAATGATTCTTATCCCTAAAAGGTACCAATTATCTTTGAGTGCTAAGTGACAGAAGTCAGATTCTGGACCAAAAATAAATATTATGAATTACAAATGCCAATTCTGACTGTCATCATATAATCTCAAATATCTTATTGCCTCAAAAACACCCCAGGAGGTTCTGGCTTACTCTCTATGGTAGTCCTTTTAGATATATTTGTGACACCCTAAATGGTACCAAATTGCAGATCTGAAACATTAAAAGGTTCAACAAGCATCCCCATCCTTATCCAACTGGTGTCCCCACCCTGGGTCCATCTTGGGGCCAACCCGGCCCACTGTGGGCCACCCTGTCCTTACCTTGCCACACTTTTTGTACGGTATGTTATTTTCATCACAGTATTTGTAAGTTAAGTCTAATCCTTCAACACAAAGCTTGGCCTTTAGAGAACCTGGTTTGTAATATATACCACAATGTACTACACCACTGTTATGCCCTGTCTGATGTGTTGCTATGGAAACCAATAAAGGAAAAAAATGATCAGTCATTCCAATAATTAATCAAACAATAGACCTCTTCACCTTCCTCGTTTGTTGGGCACATTTCAGACCATGCGATGTCACTCTTGGGAGTTGATTCTTTCATGTGTAAATATTTTAACATGTTCNACATTAACAACACCATCAACATCATTATCATCTCTGTCATGATTGTCATGTAGTATCACATAGGATATTCACTTACCACCCCTTTACCATGTATGGTAACAGGATAAGCCAGTCCTGCAACAAGCAAACGAATGGCTCAATCAATAAATGATCAAATTAGAATTTACAAGTTGATTTTTGCAGATGGAGAGCAACTGGAAAACCCAGAGAAAACCCCCCAAATACAGGAGAACTAGCTAGAAACTCTACTCACATACACTATACCACCCATGCTTCACAATGAATGGGTGGGAGGGTAGGTAGGTTGGTGGATGGATGGAGGGAAGGAGGGAGGTATGGAGGGAGGGAGGGAGGGAGGGAGAAGATGGATTGATGGATGGGTGGATAGATGAATGGATGGATAATGTATGGTGTTTTAATGGATTCTAACCTTCTTCTTTTTCTTGTTGTTTGTCACTTTCAGTTGTGCAAGTAAAATCAGTGACCTACAAGGCAAGCTAATTAACATTAATATCATACTACATTTCTCACTGTCTCCTACAAAACAGTCTAATTTTCATAAGGTTTTGATTACATTATAATTTGTGTAGATGTCTCCTCCAGCAYTTTTAAAATTCTCCCCAAAGGAATTGCTGACTTGTGCCCAGTCTAAGATACCAGTGTTAGGAGATACTATTGCAAACAAACCCTATTAAATCATCAAAAAAAACAATGATAGTTTCAGCACAACATGATTTTTAAAGTTAAGATATTATATATAAAGTAGTCAATTTTTTTMTAGACATGCAGCTGAATTACAAACCTCACAATTTGGTTCAATTTCTTTGATGCCCTTTCTATCAACCATGGTCAAATCTCTCACTCCATTCATTTTTCCTCTATCAAATAGATTATTCAACAATGGGATCTCCTTGTTCTCTACAGCAACTATCAACTGAAAAGCACAGAAAAAAGTTTTTCAAATTATTCTAGGCTACCAGCTGAAAAGATCACACAAGCCTTGTTCCCCAGTTAGAGCCAATCCACAGCATACTTGGGTATAATATCTCCTTATTTCATACCACAAAATAAATAAAACAATCATTTTATTTAATAGTGGCAGCTCTATAGAGTAGCTCTTTCTCTACTTGAGTCCTGTGCAGCATGGCAACTAATGATTCTTATCCCTAAAAGGTACCAATTATCTTTGAGTGCTAAGTGACAGAAGTCAGATTCTGGACCAAAAATAAATATTATGAATTACAAATGCCAATTCTGACTGTCATCATATAATCTCAAATATCTTATTGCCTCAAAAACACCCCAGGAGGTTCTGGCTTACTCTCTATGGTAGTCCTTTTAGATATATTTGTGACACCCTAAATGGTACCAAATTGCAGATCTGAAACATTAAAAGGTTCAACAAGCATCCCCATCCTTATCCAACTGGTGTCCCCACCCTGGGTCCATCTTGGGGCCAACCCGGCCCACTGTGGGCCACCCTGTCCTTACCTTGCCACACTTTTTGTACGGTATGTTATTTTCATCACAGTATTTGTAAGTTAAGTCTAATCCTTCAACACAAAGCTTGGCCTTTAGAGAACCTGGTTTGTAATATATACCACAATGTACTACACCACTGTTATGCCCTGTCTGATGTGTTGCTATGGAAACCAATAAAGGAAAAAAATGATCAGTCATTCCAATAATTAATCAAACAATAGACCTCTTCACCTTCCTCGTTTGTTGGGCACATTTCAGACCATGCGATGTCACTCTTGGGAGTTGATTCTTTCATGTGTAAATATTTTAACATGTTCATCTTAAAAGAACAATTCTCAGGGGCATGTCACRTGGTCTGAAATGGGTAATTGGCATACAAAGCTTAGAGGTCTATTAATCAATCAAGAATTCATTAATAATAAGCTCACAATACACAGTCAGTAGCCAATATACAAAGTGCTATTAAATAATTCTGCAGCTAGACAACGCCAGGCATGGCACATTATCTCACGTTTTGGCYACACTAGCAGTTTTTTTATTAAAAGAAGACAAAAAACTAAGATTTGAGGTGGCAGATCAGAAGTGTATAAACCACTGGAGGTCACTGGAGGCTATTTGTTGCATGCATTCCATGCCATTAGAATAAAAGCACCAAATATGTGACTGCCCTGTTAGTTGCCCAAGTCACCCAAAATGTCGGCTATGAAGTCACATGCACCCCAAGAATGTATTCAACTCCTACTCACATAGTTCTTTTTCCTTTTCAAGTACACAAAATTTGAGGTTTGGATAGTTCATTATCAGCCGCCTTGCCGTTGCCAGTCCAATAATACCACCACCAACAATAGCAATGTCATACGACTGGGTGTTCAGGGCCCTAGGAAAAAGTTAAGAAGGTGAAAGATTGTTCGTAAATACGATTATAAAGTAACACAAAATATTATAATCATACAAAATGATATAAACTTCAAACAATTACAGTTAGAGACTGCTAGAGCAAAGAATGTATCCTTTATTTATTAGTCACCTTTTCTGTAGATCACACGACGTCACGGCTTCTCCTTGCTTACATCGTCTTACAGCATTACCAATAAGCACTGAACCACGTCTAGTGGTCAGTAATCTTTTACTCAACATCTTAATAGACTTTTAGCTTAATCTCCTGCACTAGATGAGGGAAATGATGCGTTTACAGACCATCATGACCTTTGCTGAACTACTCCGTCTGCAGTTAACGACAGGCGTTACATGTTGAACGCGCTTCACTGGAGCGAGTACACCGAGGACWGACAGACAAGTGAATTTAACTAGAATACTGTAAAAGTATAGTTAGAGATGTTTTGCTTTTAATGGATGCTTAATTAAAATGGAAATGAGAGCGCAAGGCACGCACAGGAACGCCCGCCACTTTTTATGAGAATGACATTTTATTTTTGTCTTATTTTGAGTCCTATTAAAAAGGAAAAAGAGATTAGCCCTGTCCCTCCACTCTCTGGTAATGAGCAGTTTGTAACCGTTAAAATAAAAAAACTTGCTTGCTGTGCTGTGTGCATTTATAAACAATGGGGACTGGCAGGACACTTGAGAAGTGTTGAGAACCACTCCACTTGCTTTTTCTACTTCATGTACTACTTTTTCATGGGATTCTCCCAGCTCACTTACACCGTGCTGACGAGGCCCAATACAGGCTGAAACAGCTGTCCACAGTTTCTAGTTGAGCTGCCTCATTTTTAATTCGACTTGAATTTGTGAAAGGCCCATTGGTCCTCTTCTTCAGTCATTTCATACAAGGCTCGTAATTTACCCTATTACGCATGTATATATGCTTTTTCTAAACTTATCTCATTTGCTGCCAGCATCCCCGCATGCTTTATAACTATTCAGAGCATGCGGACACAGTTACTATTTTTATCATTAAAAATTAGAAAGAAGGTTTGAGGGTTACATGTGCATTTATTCAGTGCTCAGTTTGATGATATAATCTTTTTTTRTTTTCAAGTCAAACACAATATTTAAATATTACACAAATATAGAGTGAAGGCATTTAACCCGTGAAACAAAAAATTCTAGTCAACTCGTAATAATCAAATAGACACAAAAGACAACAATGGATTTAGGGTCTACTAAAGTGTATTAGTCTAATATCTATTTCACTGGTTTAATGACTTCACTCTAATAATGCAAAAAGATAAAAAATACAGAAAAACAATATTAATGATGACAATCGTAAATATAACAAAATATTATAGTAAAATGTTATTTCAATGAAATAGAAAAAATATTTTAGCTGCATTCAAAAGTGTGAAATAGCCTCCCTGCGCATCAAACACAAACACTTTATAAAGTGTTGTCATAGAATTAAACACGCATAACATGCTGGTATGCATGAGAAATATATTTTTTTACTTAATTATTTTACTTTATGCACAGTCTGAATTATCTTCAATATTCAAATTCATACTTTATCTTAAAAGTTATTAACTTTTTTTATGAATAAAATATATTATAAAGTTAGTTTTATCACACATGAATGCAAAACAATTTTTTTTTTGTGGGGGGGGGGGGGGAGTTTGCATATTTCTTCAGGAAAAGACAAATATATTCTCTTAAATTCGTTACCAGTAATAATAGATTTCAATATCACATACCACACTCACACACATGTGCCTAATACAATTAAATATAAAATGTTAATAAAATATAAGTATTTACTACATCCAAACATATTGATTTATGTCAGTCCAAACCCTTTGCTATTCTCTATAGCAACAATTAACCTCTCTTTCAGTTTGTCTTGGTTGTCATATGAGGGTAACAATAGTCGATTAAAGCAAGTCAAGGCAGCTGGAAGTCTATCAGAGTCAGGACCATGCTTCTGGATTATAAATGTCAAATTTGCTAATCCCTTTAAGGGTACTCTATCACTACCAGTAACAAACATAAGGACTGCCTTTTTCTGCTGCACACTCATTTCACTGAACACCTTCCATAACATCTTGATCGTAGGGTGTTCTGGAGAGTAACCATCTTCATATGTAGCTGCCACCTCAAGGTCACTAAAATCCAGGACTGGACAACCACAGATTAGAAGCTCAAGTTCTTCTGGGCTAAAAAGTGTTAGAGTGGCACCTCCACATACCTGTAAGACAACAAGAAATTACTCTGTGTGACAGAACAAGTTACTGTGTGTGACAGAACAGGTTACTCTGTGTCACAGAACAAATTACTTTACATTTAAACTGGAATTTGCTTTGCTTCTGATGATGGCTACCACCAGAACTGTGATAATGTAAATGTATAAATGGCAGCCAGTGACTGATCATAAATCTCTCTTGATAAGATCCATTGGGAACTTGTAGGATTAAATGTTACAAATTGATAATAGAGTCTTTGCACCATCACGTAACGGCAGCCATGTTAGATGGCAGGAACAATCATTTTACATGAGAACGAATTCAATTCCTGAGAGCAAAGGAATCTTATCGTTCTGCCAATATCCAACCACAGGCAGTCCATGCTGTATTATAGGCACAGGCAGGTGATGGTACAAAGCCTCTTTAATCATGATAATATATAGAACTGACCTTATGAAATCCTCTGGCAAAAGCATCAAACTGTTTGGCCACAGAATCAACCAGGATATATTTCACATACAAATCTACAAACTTGTTTCTGTTGGTTTTGGTTACTGGGACTTCTGATCCATTAGGAATGAGATCAATGTTGATTACCTTGCCATACACAACATCAGATATCTGAAACAGAAATAGATTGATAAATCACATGACTTCAAAATGCATTCATTACAACTCAATTTTTCTATACACACTTATTCCACTTCCTTCTCTCTCCAGTTGTCAAAAAGAACTTCAGCCCAAAAAAGTACTATCCCCCCCCCTCCCCACACACACACTACATACCTCCCTACCCTACCTTCAAAGAGAAAATGCCATCAATAACAACTGTAGACTTGAGATACCTGTGGTATGCAACACAGGTAGCCCACAATGGGGAAATACCAACTTACCTGAAAAGTATAACAAAATACATTTTCAACATCTCCTTGAAACTCCAACAGTTCTCTCAAACTCCTTGCTAGAGATGGTTGAACGCCCATCAAATCCTGTATATTTGGTTTGTATCCTTGTAACTTCTTGTAGATCACAGAAGGAAAGTGGACATCAAGAATTACGCCATTATAAATAGCTAATCCTAGAATGATGCCAACTAACTCAAACTCCATCTCTGATTCCAAGGAAGAGCCATTGATCCATACTGATCTAGTTTCCTCAAGGTAAGTGAACATGCCAAAATCTGTTCAATAAAAAAATTCAAGAATTTCAAGTTCTCTGTTGCTCAGAATGTTAGTCTTGATTTTGTGTAGAATATTCATGTGTTCCAGCAAAGGTCCGTGGAATATCAATGTGTTTGCATTGTTGAAGTTGTACATTATCMTTAGCAGTATCGTACGTATGAATTTCATAATGTTCAATTGTAAGTAAAACCAAATTTGAATACATACCTGACTCAAAAATGGAATCTACAATCATGTGAAAAAACTCCCGCTGCAGACCTCCCATGTCTAGACCCTGCTCACCTCCACCAACATACTTGATCTTTAAGGGTTTTTTGAGATCACCCTCCTGGGAAATGAAAAACATAAATTGCAATGAAATTTTACTTTTTTCTACATTTCCCATCATTTCATTTTTTGGTCAGATGCTTATTTATATTGCATATTTCCGAATGGCATTTAATCATTTAACTTCAACTTTAATACTACTAAATGATGTAATATTCACTGATTCTTCCACCTTCAAGTGTATTTGATTAAGAGTGTCTCTAATAATATAATCCCGTCGAATAGAAAGAACCAAGAAGGGACATGTAGCTGATTTGACAACATCTCCAAGTTTGTTACTTCTGTCTGTTTCTTCAAACACTTTTTGTGCTTGTTGCACTCTTGCTTGATGTACAATAGCATTTTGGTACTCAGCTCGCATCTGCCAGACGGCATCAATGTGCATGACTCTAACCTGTGTACACACAAAAGAATTAAATACCATACTACAGGAAGAACAGACCTTGTAATGTGTAAGCATAAGCACAAATAATAGAAAATACATAAGCACAAGATTATCAAAAGCTGACTGTGTAGATGTCCATTATTCTGGATGTCCCGCATGGAGACTGGAAAATTTTTTCCTGAGAAAGATTAGCTTGACAAAACAGTATTTACATCTTTCCAAGCATAAAAACATCTAATGGTACAAATTCTTTTACCTTGGATGCTGGGTCAAATAAGTATGGAAAATCCAAAACTGAAATATCATTCTCTGGAGCATCACAACTGTGGAATGTAAAACATGTTGTTAAGACAAAAATCTTCCCAAAATATTATCTATTAAATTAATTAGTTGTAGTTAAAGAAACTAAGCTATCTTACTTTCCTTACCTATTTATTAGTCTCCAATTTTCATATTCCTTCTTAAAATCTAGCTTCTTAGAAAGATCATCAGAGTAGAATAAAGAAACCGAAGGAATATTGTCTGCTGTTGTAGCTTGACTTGCTAGCATGTAAGCATCATGGAAGATAGCCACCACTTTGCATATCTCTATTAGATGTGGTTCAGTACATTGGTTAGGGTGCACATGTTCACCAAGAAATGCATGGAAAACCTGATAGAAAAAACGAGTGAGAATAAGTGATCCCTTTTTCTATATACGTTATGCTCAAAGGGTGTTCTATTGTAGGTAAACAGTTAAATCATATATTCAGAGGAGTAGCAAATAATTCCGAAATGGGGGGGGGGGGGGGGGGCAAAAAAAAAGATCTGCCATTTTGTATGCACCCCTGAAATGCCAACAAAAAAATTTTTTATGTATTTTTAAAACAAAAATATTAACTGAAATTACTGTACAAAATCTAAAAAGCCACCAATTTGTTGTCACGAAGAAGGAGGAGGGGGGGGGGGGGAGGAGGGGCTGGCCCCTTTACCTATGCCCTTGATATTGCAGATTTGCAGCTCTTGAACATTGAATCAAGTTACTGAACAAAGCATTTTGTCTCACTTCATGCAATTGCATCTGTATGCAAGCGCTCTCTAAATGCCCAGGATGTTAGAATACCTTAGTTTTAGCTCTAATAATTTAGCCTTTTCAATCTGATAACAAAATTTCAACTAAATGTATATCACTTAGAAAGGGGTATGACTGACCAGTTAGTTTCAATAAAGGGCCAAAACTATGGCCTGGCCAACATCATACCTGTATTAGGTTTTTAAAAGCATCACACTCATATCGTGAGAAGATGGTGACCAGTGCCTTGCGGGTTTCTTGTGGCAGTTTGTTGAGAACTGAGCAAATTTTACGCAGGAGGTCTTGTGACTTGTGCAGCATGGGATTCTCTAACAAAATAACAAGCTGATACACTTCATCAGGTGAGGTGATGAATGATTCTAATGTCATTAGGTGGATTTCAGTTGCATTGACCAATGGCRTGACAAACGTTTCTCTTGGTTCAAGACTCATCAACAGCTTGTATGCTTTCCGAACAGCTGAAATGTCTAGTTCATCCCATGGTTCATTAAAAATAGATTCTTTTCTGAAACTTTCATTCAGAGCTTCTATAGAAGTGAATACAGTTCTTATGGTATTTAGAAGGAAAGATGGGTCATGGCACTCTTTGTAGTTAGAAATTGAAGATTCTAGCATTTGGAGGGTCAAGTGAGTCAGGGAAAATTCTTGTATCTCTTGATATCCTGACGACATTTCAAGAGCGCATTCCTTTTCAAATTCCTCTAGTGGAATAATTTCATTGAGAGAACTGTTTGACCCATGTAAATCCCAAGCCAAATCTGGCAATTCCACTTCATTCATTAAATTTCCTGACAAGTTCAGCTTTGAAAATTCCACATCTAAATTAATAGGATGACTAGGAAGTGGATTTTTTCCTTCTGGTTTTAAGTTTTGGATTGATCCAGAATATTCTGTGTGTTGGTTAGTAAGGTCTGGATTACTTGTCAACCGGAGACTTGAATGTGAAAGTGACTTTTCTTTGGATATTTGTACTAAACTGCTTAGCGATCCTCTGACAGATGAAAAGCTTCCACATCTAGAAAGATTTGACATTGGATTTGATTCAAATAAGGACAGAAATGGGGTTGTAGAAAACAAGCAGTGTAAGAATGGTCTTGGCACGTCTGGTTCTCCATCGAACAGATTTTCAGGAAGGCTCTTGCATGTTTCTTTGACACAAAAGTACTTTTGGTTGCGAGATGCAAGTTCTATACTGACAATTGCTGCTAATTGGGGACTAAAGTTGGATCCCATTTCACCAGAACAACAAAACCTGTTGGTACAATTCTCATCTCCACATCCTTCTGTAAGCTGATAAAAATATCTCTTTACCACGAATTCAAAATGTTTCTTGACAGCTGAATACGAAGAGTTTGGTTGGTCATAACTCCTTGGCAATACTGCCTCTTTGATGGAAAGGTTCGAGTCTGAAATAGCAGCAAGATTACTAGCACTAAGTGTCTTACCAGATGTACCAAGGGACTGGGTGCTCAACTGAGCTAGACTTGAAGATTTATGCAAAGAGTCCAGATGTAAGTTAGTTAAAGACCCCGAAATTTTATCTTTTCGAAGTCTAGGTTGACTCGAATGTCTTGTCAACTTGTTAAATTTTGTCAGACTCTCGCCAGATTGTAAAGAATGTCTTTTGACATGTCGAGAGAATGGCAGTTTGGGAGGTTTTCCAGGCACAACACTAGAATCACTTCCTACCATTTCGTTATCCATTTCCATCTCGAATCTACCGTCGAAAAGATATCTTCAGTACTTTACAGTACATCTTGTGCTCCATCGGCTTTCTACAGATATCTTAGATGTTCTAATTTTCCCTTTTCTTTTGCCGAATTGAATTCCAGAACAAAAACGCCGCCATTTTGGTTGTCGTGACAACGGTGACGATGGTCAGTGGAAKCCCAACAAAATTTACTCCCATATAAGGTATAAGTCAATAAATTCTTTAATTTCTTCTGTCTTTTTTTATTCTTTTTTTATTCTTTTTATTTCTTTTATTTACATTTTTTCGAATATCAAGTTCAATAATTCGATAACTCATAATCAAGGTATAATCCTGGTATTAATTTTTTGGCCAAAAATTCTGATCATTTTTATACATTTACTTTGATTTTTTTTTTTGTCAAAAATGTATTTTTACATCCATTGACGTAAGACGTCTAAGCAAAGACTTATGCCCTGTTCGTAGAACGACGTAATATAGGCTGGTACAAAAATCATGCCATACTTTCAAAGTAAGTGAAGAAAAGATGAAGAAAAATTTTTTCACTTCCTTTACGAATTTTTTTTGATATTTGACGAATATAATTCATTACGATTCGATTCTAGCAAGAATGTATATATTTTTTCCTAATTATTTCACGATTGACAAAGTATTTACGATTCTTTTGATTTCGTTTTTCCTGTCATTTCCGGTGACGTCATGAGACTTGTTCCCAGGTCAATATCCATTTTGAAAATTAGAAAACCGGCTACGCGGCACTGATTTGCATAATTTCAAAACTTCCCTTTACTATCTACTAGTCTCTGGAGATGGCTAATGTTGTAAGTATTCTCGTATTAGTACTCTTTTCTTGTCTTGATATCTTAGGCTTGGCTTCTAAATCAAGATCTTTTAAGTAGACTTAATATTATTTTTTACTACGGCAAGACGATCGTATTAGATGGAGTACGTGAATGTGTACATATTAATTCGCACAGCTTATTTCAGCATTGATATATGTTAGTTATCTCTAACTACTACCCTGATTCCTTCTACAGAGTGACATGGAGAGAGTTTCACTGTTTGACAGAAAAATTTTAGACGATGTAGATTTGAGTAAAGGAAAATGTAATCTGCTGGATTTTGGGATCTCACCATCAAATCCTGGAGAAAACTTATGTATGAGACCCCTTTGTAGTGATGATCATGAAAAAGGTTAGGAAGCATCGTCAGTAGGATTGATATTTGATTAAAATTACTTGGTAAAAAACCCTACGTGAAAAGCAGCTTCAGGTGTTGTTTTATACAATACTTCTCGTGACAGGAATTAGCTACACACCCCCACCCACCCGTCCCTCGGTCCATTCTGTGTATGACACTCCTATAATTCCTCCTCTTCAACCTCTAAATATTGCCCAGGAATATATTGTTTATGTATGAGTCAACCTAAAATGGAAGTACATAACAGATGGTATTCCCAGATACATGGAACTGAAGTAACTTCAAGATCATTAATGATAAAATTTTTTTTACAGATTTCATTCAGCTATTGTCACAGTTGACAAAAATGGGAGATATAACAGAAGAAAAATTCCTTAGTAAGTTGAGAAAATRTAATTTACCAACAGAAATACCCAAAGAAATGCTGTATCTAAAAAAGAAAGCCCTCTTATCCCAGACCCTCTTTACCCCTTGAAACAAAACTTTCCTTGGAAAGCTAGAAAGTTTTGGATGGGATTTACTAAGACCATCAATTAATTAATACCATGTTGGATTTCAGTGACCAGGTTATAGATATGATAAAGCTGTGAAGATATACAAGTTTTTTTTATTTTTCAGGGCGTTTTAATGCCATGAAGGCACACACAGGAACATACTACATCATAGTCATTGAAAATATCAAACTGGGGAAAATTGTGGCTTGTGGTTCTCTTATCGTTGAGCAAAAGTTTATTCATGAAACAGCATTGGTAAGTGAGTAGTTGATAAGGGTATGGTAGATCAAAACATGCAATGCTGAATCATGGTCAAATCTGTTTTCTATTAGAGGGGCCGCATTGAAGATATTGTGGTTGATGATAGTTGCCGAGGACAAAAGATTGGAAAATTGTAAGTAGTGGGAAAGGACAGGGTCCAAGGGTAATAGGTCGAGATGTGGTTATTTTTCTCTTCTTCTCTCCRTCCCAACCCCCACAATCCTACGAGATCTACACAGATCTATGCAAGCCAGGGTATGCAAGCTAGCAAAAATTTAAAAATGATAGAATTTGCACAATTGATAATCAATCATTTGTTGCATTTTATTCAATGATAGTTCAAGATGTAACTTTTTAGTAAGTATTATTTTGTTTTCAATTTTCAGAATTGTAGAAACTTTACTGCTTCTCAGTGAAAAATTGGGTTGCTACAAGACAAGCCTTGAGTGTAAAGATCCCTTGCTTCCCTTCTACACCCAGTTTGGTTTTGTTGCTGAACCAGATCAGAATCATCTCATTAAACGATTTTTTCATTAATACCAATAATACAATTAATAGTAACAAGTCTTCATAATTCCCATTGGTACATAACCATGCCTACACACCAATTCCTATTTAATGGTGATAATGATAATTATTGATATACATCTGAGGTATTTATAGTAGAATATTTTTTATGCAAGGTTAAATTGCTATTCAACTCAAGTAAGTAGCTAACATTTTGAGAAGTTAAATATTCTTTTTTTATGGCACTATTGTAAGGCTGATATTTATAACCACCTAACACAAGGTGATTTCCAGGATGCAATTCACTGCTTAGCAGGGTATCTGTAGTTTTCATGTACTATAAATCAAAATAGATTTGTCTCATGATCTGAAGTCTGAGTCAAATTTAATATGTGCAGTACACTCATTTTACATGAGAAGATACACTTGGCAGCATTCTTGAAAATCTTTGGAGTTACTAGCTTGTTAGTCCTGTTATAGACAACTACAATGCTATAAATAGACAAGAGCACTCACTTTAAAGTTATGTAAGGACATTTTAAATATTTATTATTATAATCTACTTGCTTCAATGTCAAATTAATTTTACATTTGAACATGCTGTGCATATTTTGTACAATAAAAGAAAAGTGATGGGATACTGTTTTTTTTTTTTTTTTTACTTTGTACTGTTTTTCTCTCAAGAGATCACAGGTAAAAGTGTTCTGCCTGGTTGGGCTGATAATCTTTGAATTAACAGTGACAGTGTATTAAGCTAAGAATCTGATGCTCATCTTTGCACTGAGATCCACATTCTTCATCACCTGATAACAAAAACAATACAATACAATATTTTAGTTATTCAAAATTGAAGGAGGAAAGGCTAAGGTCTTCAACACACCACCCTTCTTCATTGTCCTGCAAACACATGTAAACCAATTGAGACAGGTTTATATAAATAATAAATGCGACTTCATCCACTGAATTCCAATTAGAATATTTCTTGTGGAGGGAGGAGAACTGTAGAAAAACCTTGAAGCACAGGAAAAAACCAAAAAGCAACTCTATTCACACATGATGCTGAGTCAGGCAATTAAACTGGGTCCCCTTGGCGACAGACAATATTAAGTGTTGTATGATAATAAAGTTGTACCTTTTTAAGGTCTTCAAAGGAAATCATCTGTTCTTGAGCACAACCTGCATCCATTATTGCCCTATCAGCTATGCAGCCTAGTTGGTCATCACTTATACTAACACCAACCATCATGTGCAAAATCTATTAAAAACATATGACATATAGGATACTCAGTGATACTCTATATATTGTTGAAAGACAACTTAAATGGTTACTAGACAGCTGGAAAGTGTTAATAATAAAGCATCAATAACATTTTTCTATGTAGGATGAACCAGTAGGTAATCAAGACTCCTTTTTTCCTACCATTTCTATTCCTATCGTGTGCATGAATTAATATCACTGATACAAATCACAAGACTTACAGACATGAGATTATCTTTAGAGATTTTTCCATCACCATCAATGTCATATATTCTGAAAGTAACTGGAAAAAAAACACAAGATGACAAAGGCTTATCAAAAGGCTTCTACATTCAAGCACTCAAACAAGTACTTGATGACTCTCATTAAACTTTAAAAGATGTTAATTGCTTACATTTTAGCTTTTCTTCTCTTGAGTTTAATGGGTTTGCCGTGTTTGGATCAATAGGTCGAAAATGAGCCAGGGTTCTTGCAAACTGTTTGAAATTACAGTCAACATGTCCATTCCTAAAACCAAGAAAAGAAAGTACAAATAACCTTACATTTCAATTAATCAATTATTTCATGTATATCTGTCCCATACTATATATCCCTATTCTATGCAAAAACATTGGACCCCTTGTTTAACCCAATCAATACTTCCTTGCCATTGTCTGAAAAAACTAGATTATATCGAATTGTAAAAACAAACACTTACACATCGGTTTCACTCATAAAAAATGCATCAACTATCCTATCCCCTAGTGGGTTAATAGCCAGTTCTGGAATATGTAGAAAGTCTTCACGGCTGAAATTATAAACAAACAATAAACTGTAAATATCCTAATCAATATTAGCATCTCTATCTTGCTTTTACTGTTCTACGCACTGTACCGTGGCCACTTCTCAGGTGTGGATCCAGGGGTGATGAGAGGGGTGGCTAGAAACCCACTTTTGCTCAAATTTCTCAGTATTAATTTTTAACAGTCACCCTCCTTTCCTCGAATTCCTGGTAAAACCTTTGTAATAGTCACCCCCCTCCTGGTAAAACCTTTGTAACAGTCACCCCCCTTCCTGGTAAAACCTTTGTAATAGTCAACCCCCTTCCTGGTAAAACCTTTGTAATAGCCACCTGGATCCACCCCTGCTTCTACAAGTTTAAATTGTGCTCTTTATCACTAACCAATAGTCCCCTTCACAGTTACCAGTGCCATCTTGAAATGATAGAGACTTGTGAATAATTGTACAAGGTGTTAAAAAAGTCTCTATCATTGCAATCTCACCGTTCATCTGGCTTCGGTGCAAACCGCTACCTTTCAAGGTGGTGCAGGGAACTGTGTAAGGGACTATTAGACATTGGCGTTTTCCCTTGATGTTTCAGTAGACAGAGTTTGTACATCGATGTAACCATATTGAAACATCAAAGTGAAGCCCCAAAACATAATTGGTTAGCGGTAAAGAGCTTGATCAAAAATGGTCAAAAAGATGTCAAAAACTTGTAGAAGTGTACACTGTACGGCACGTAGTACGTAAAGTAAGCACTGGATTGGAAGGAACAACAGTACAATAATATTTCACTTCAGCTAAATTGTTGGTGCTGTTGTTTTATGCTTCGTGTATTGTGACTTGACATTCTGTTGCAGCTTGACACATTTATTAATGATTACTTCCGGCGCCTAACATGGCAGCCACATATTCTTTGTCTGTATATACGTTATTGTTTTTTATGGTTTGTCGCTGTTATGTAGT